CTGAGGCTTAGGGAGAGTGGAGCAGGGGCCATGGAGGGCATAAGGTCTGGGCCTTGACATCCTGCACCTTTTAAACATTTTATAGGAGTGTGATCTCCCAACTGGATTTTGTCATCACTGTTGCACTATCACGGGGTGCTGAATTTCAGGCATCGTTTTCATTTACTACATTCTTCTGGTTTAGTCCTAATGCAACCAAGACTGACAGACTGGATTTCTTTCATCGTTATTTTCAGTTAGTGTAAATTGTTGGTCTCAAAAAAGTCACCAGAGATTCTCCCTGTGTCCCATAATCCAGTGGTCTCTGATTTGGAGAGCTGTTATGTAGGATCGCTTGTAATCATCATTACAAATCCCGCTGGTTACATGATGATTACTCAAATGTTAAGAGCCACTTCAAGCCACACCTTCAGTGTGGCACTGTAGTTATGTGAACTGGCCTTCAGACATTTTTGCTCTCATGAATGCTTTGTTGCCACAAAAGTATGCTTCTGCTTTGATACTGGCTTGTCCCCTGTTGTTACAAATTTTTCAGGCCATCTGTATTTCTGGAGCCTGCGCACTGGGGATCCACTTATAGCAAGTTTTGCACCTGTAAGTTTCACAGCTGGGAAGTTGCCAAAATGTTTGCTGGGGTGGGGGTTCTGTGTTTAATTGCAGCAAAGGCTTAACATTCTCTGTTTGAATGTATTGTGAGCTGAAATGTTTGTGTGATATATGTAGCCCAAAGCCACAACCACATTAGTTAATCACATATGACCCCATGTACAAATTGCAATTAACACCAGCTTCCCAGGTGGTGTAAATCAGGGGCAGTGATTTGGCAGCCCATGGGCTAGGTGTAACTCAAGGCTGGCTTGCTGCAATGCACTTTATGTGAGGCTGCCCTTGGGTGGCACAATTGTGGTGACTGTGGTTGATGGGAGTTGTAGTCCAAAACATCTGGAGGGTGCAAGGTTGGGGAAAGCTGTGCTAGATGATGACAACTTCAGGACACCTAGATTGTTCTGGCATGGAGACTGAAATTTTCCTCCCATTAGAATAGAGAAGTTGCCCATCTCTTATGTAACTGTGTTAACTAACAACGTGGTTTGCATCAATGTGTGTTCCAGTCAAGAGGGAAATCCTTAATTACCAGCATTGCTGTGACTGCTGATGATTCATATTTGTATGCTGCCGATGAGGATGGATACGTGTATGTCCATGACATCAAAGATTATGCTCTTCAGGATCCAGAACAAGAAGCACCAAAGTGTATGTCTACATGTACATTTTACTTACAGTAGCATCTTTGCTTTTGGGTTATAGATTGACAGCACAAATGCACATGTGTACTGAAAAGCAAGTCCAGTTGGACTCACTGAGTTGCAAGATCATTTAAAGCAAAGGTAAAGGGACCCCTGACCATTAGGTCCAGTTGTGGCCGACTTTGGGGTTGCGGCGCTCATATCGCTTTATTGGCTGAGGGAGCCGGCGTACAGCTTCCGGGTCATGTGGCCAGCATGACTAAGCCGCTTCTGGCGAACCAGAGTAGCGCACGGAAACGCTGTTTACCTTCCCGCCGGAGCAGTACCTATTTATCTACTTGCACTTTGACGTGCTTTCAAACTGCTAGGTTGGCAGGAGCAGGGACCGGGCAACGGGAGCTCACCCCGTCGCGGGGATTCGAACCACCAACCTTCTGATTGGCAAGTCCTAGGCTCTGTGGTTTAACCCTCAGCACCACCCGCGTCCTGCAATATCATTTACCTGGGGGTAAATCCAATTGAAATCAATGGTGTTTACTTCTGAGTAGACATGTATAGGATTGCACTTCATGTGACTTCAAACACACCACACTGTTTTTTTATGTTAGTACATACTGTATGTTTTATCCATGAACTGAGGCTGGATCTAGACACAACAAAAAAGCGTATCAGAAAAACGTGTTGTGAACTTCATAAAGGGAAAACACGTTGCCGAAGGACAGGACTCCACAGCGCCATCTGGTGACACAATGTTATAACGCACATAAAGCTCTTTTTCTTTACTAATGTAGCTGAGTCCTGTGTTCTATTCCTTTCTGTTGCCACAGATGTGAACCACTGGAGAGCTCATTTGAATCTGGTTCCATCGTAAGTATTGGCTCAACCTTTAACAAAAATAAGTTGTGCACATGGGTTTCTAACTGGTTGTCATCTCTGGCTTGACAAATAGGTTAGAAGTTATAGATGAAGAGAACATCCTGCTATCCTGTTCAACTGATCGTACTGTTCGGTTGTGGAGCCTGGATGGAGAATACATTGGTAAATGGCACATGCACAAAACACAAGGACCATATTACTCATTTAAGAGGAACTGACAGCTTTGTGTAGGAATGCACCTTAACGTAGACGATTGACACATTAACATTTACTCGAGCTCCAGTGAGCACCCACTGCTGGTATTGAAAGCTGTGCACATGCAAATCTAGCCGCATCTGCCCTGTAGTTTATTGAGAAATACTGCTTTTTGATTGAGAAATACTGCTTTTCTCCTTGAACCAGCTTCTGTCTGATTTGAAAACTTAAGCCATGTGCCCGTTGCAATTAAGCTGAGGTGTGTACATTTGAGACAGTAATAAATTATTATTATTATTATTATTAATTATCTATACCCCGCCCAACTGGCTGGTTTTCCCCAGCCACTCTGGGCGGCTTCCAACCGAATATTAAAAACCTCTTTCTGGTGCATACAACTTTGTGCAACTTGAAACATGGGGTGGTGGATTTGGCTTATCAAATGTCCACATTCTAAGGTATTGCAGCAGGTTGTTGGCTAAGCCGCCCTGAAGCAGCAGTTACTCACACACACAACTGCTGTGTGCAAAGGGATAAGCATCCAACCTGCCCATGACTCCTGTAGGTACATTCCTCATCCCTATGTTATCATGAGTTGTTTTGGAACAGCTTGCCCTAGGACTCCATCTCTGGGTGTGCATCACCGGAGAAGACCAAAGAGAAATGGAAGCTACTGCTATTTGACCAACATTCTGTTTAAGAAATACAATGGCCCTGGGTTCATAAGTAAAATTTTTTTTTAGATACGCTCTCTGCAGCCTCAGGTTACTGAAGGAACTACTTCCATCGCATGCTGTTTCTTCAGTTACACTTGTTTAGAGATTCCTTTCCTTTCTCTCCCTATAGGAACCTTTGGCCAAGCAGAACCTTGGGAAATTTTTACCCCATCCTCCTGGAAACATCCCATGGTTCCTTATGAAATCCTGATCGATCCTCAAAGTATGCCCATTCACCCTGTGCTAGAAGGCAAGCCCTCCGATTCGCAGCTCACAGAGCAAGAGAAGAGAACTCAGGATCCTGCCACACCTAAGGTTCGTATGTCAGCTGCAGTGGTGCAGTTAATAGGGGGAGGCCATGAACTACATCCCACCCCTACCAGTTTCTTATATATGCCTTTGTCTGTGTTATGAAAGCACCGCTAGTCAATGCAAAATGAGCAAGTGGAATCGTTTTATTTTCCTGCATCTCCAGCAATTGTTGCTGGGGCAATGTTTCTGTTAAGGTCCTACTTTTTCCTTTAAAGGGAGCAATCCTATGCTCCTTGGGAAGGTTCTCTGGGCCCAGAGGATTTTGCAGATTTCCCTTTCTGATGGCAGAGAGAGCAAAGAATTCTGGGAACATATAAGGTACAGTAAGATAAGCACAAAGATATCCTAAAGCAGCCACGACCACACCTTGCCAGTCAGTAGATGCTAAATGCACCTCTCTGGCCTATTAAAATTAATATGTAAATCCAGGAGGGAGGAAAAACCTGTTAACTGTGTACCATGCTGAAAGAGCAACTTAAAAGGCAGATTTTGGCAATGAAACCTTGGAGAATGATTTAACAGCGTGCAAAGTACAGAATGGAAATGGCTGCCATCTGATTGGGTACCAGCCTTATGCCATCTGCTTCGGTATGGATTCTCCAACATAGCAGCTCCCAAAACTTCCATGGCGGAAGATTCAAGAGCAGCAGCATCACCGGCTGCTATTGCTATTCTAACAGCAGTTAAGGTGCATGAATAATGCAGTGGCTGTTCTTCTGCTTTCGGTAGGAAGCAATCTCTAATCCCCGGCTCTCCCCGGCTCCAGTTACCAGCGAGGACATTCAAGATGAAATTAGCAAGCGTCTTTATGCAAACACTTCAAGCAGGAGGTAAGCGGGAAGCCCAGGCTGGCAAGTAAATTGACGGCATTTCCAAAGAGTTTTCTCTTCCCACCTGCAACTTCCTTTCCCCACCCCCTAGGTTGAAGCATGAGCGATCCAAGCTTTTAAACAGACGGGTTAGCCACGGGGGACCCAACACTTACCGCACAATCAACTATTATGAAATTGACAGTTTCCCGGGAAACTGTCGGAAGCCTGATTTGTCTCTTCTGGGTACAGACATTTTCAGTGCTAATTACAAAGGAGCAGCCGAGTAGCAAGAAACTGAGCCTGTCGTTTGCCAAGTCACTGGAACCAAGGCCTGCTTAAAAGCCCTAGTGTAATTTCTTCTGTTGGACTATTCCCCACCCTTCAGCTAAACTTGCAAAGAATTGTCCTGACTACAATCCTCCTCTTTAAAGCTAACAGTGTTGCTGTTCTGTTGTCTCATCTCACTGATACATATCTCTGCTCAAACGGACGACAAAAACATTGATAGCCAGTATAACGCAAACTAGAGTTTAGCACATATGTTTCACTTTTTTTTACCGTGAGAGAGACTTAAAGGCACATGCTTAATTCTTCTACTGAAAACTGTTGGCTTTGGGTCTAGGTTCAAGTCATAATTGGGTAGATGCATGGAAAATCAGTGAGACTTAAGTTAGACATGGCTAATTTATACCCTAGTGGTTTCATACTTGAACTGGAGGCTACCATCCAGTCCACTGAGCCATAAGTATTTATGTGCTACTAACAGTTAGTTTCTAGCATAGCCTTGGTCTTGGAAGCCGAGTAATACAACACACACAAAACCAACACTGTAAAGAACCACACCATTTCAATGAACTTTATTAAAGCTCACTAAAGGCACCACAAGAACTTACAACAGGATCAGTTTAACCTTCATTCAGTTTTTTCACACATGAAAGCGACTTGTTGAGCAAGAGACTGAACTTAAGCAATTCTGCATGCTGCTTCACATATTCCTTCTAATTTTTTAGTCTAGCAAATATTATGGACAATGGGTACAAAGAACATTTTCTTCTAAGTTTTGGTTTTCGTGTATGCCTTTGACTGAATGTCTTTTGCCAGTGGAAGAAACGTATCAAAAATGGAGAAGAAAGGAAAACCACCTTGGTGTCTATAAAAGCTCTAGCTGCAACCCTTTCAAAAGGAGCAATACCTTTTGTGACATTCCCTTGATATTAAGTAGCCTTAACTGATTACAAAAGGTTAAATTCCCGCACAGAAGATTTTGTTAAGTGTTCACAATTCCACAGGAATCTGAAAGTTACCAAGGCAATTTTCCTTTTAGGATTATCATGATCTCAACTTCTACCGTTTCAATATATTCGTTCCCCAAATAATATAACAGAACTCAAAACTCTTTAAAACAAATTATAAATACCTCCCCTCAAACATTACATTCCCCCCATATCACATAATACACCTGAAGTCTTTTCTCATGATGAAGCTGCTCATTGAAATGCATTGGGTCTAGTCGAGGTCCATGTTAACTGGGCTCTCGTTTATGTGACAGTCGCCATTTTGCTGCACTGTCTCAATGTTCTTAATCTCTTCCAGCTCTTCGTTTTTATGATTAGGCGATGGTTCTGGTGGTGCTTCCTGTTTGGGAGAGTCTACCTTTGGCTTGGGTTGGGTTACAATGGGCTCACAAAAGCTGTGCAGCTCCTAAAACAGAAAACAAAAAAACCCAAAAATTATATTGATGGAGTTGACCAATATGTACAAACTACTGCCTTATTTTAGCTCAGTCAACCTGACATGCTTGAAAAGCAACTGCTCTGTTTAGGCCAGAAACTAACTTACTGCGATAACCTGGCTGATGGCAGAAAAACAGGCAGCCCTGCATCTCTCTCTTGGCTCCATAACATCTGTACCGTATTTTTCGCCTATAGGACACACCGTCCATAAGGCGCACTAGTTTTGGGGGGAAATAAGGGGGGAAATTATTTTTCCCCCAGGCTCGGGCTGAACGGGGGAAGCCCGAGCTTCCCCCAACGCCAGCCCCCAAACAGGGCGCTCTCTGCAAGCGTGGGAGCCCACCTTGGCTCCCGCTGCTTGCTGAGAGGTTCCGCGAAGCCTGGAGAGCGGGGGGTCGGTGCACACGCGACTGCCTCAATCAGCATTACAGGCTTTCAGCGAAAGCTGCATTCGCCCCATAGGACGCACACACATTTCCGCCTTCAATTTTTGAGGGGAAAGTGCGTTCCTATAGGGCGAAAAATAAGTATTACGAAGTGCATCCAAGATGTCCATGCTGCAAAAACCTTCCCCCTCCCAGAAGTGGCAGCCAATAGGATGCAGAGAGGCAAAGGATGTATCTTTTAATCCTATGCATGTACCAGCATGGGGAACCTACGGCTCGTGATTCTGTTGGATTCTTCATCAGCTACCAGTCCAACATGGCCATAGCCAAGGACCGTAATCCAGCGCATCTGAAGGCCCCAGCCCTGCAATTCTCAAATCTATGGCCTGCATTTGTTCAGCCCTGCTCTGTCCTTTGTCTTCAAAATGAACTTCACCTAGGCTCGTCTTATCCTGGAGATGAACATAAAGTGTTTCTGTGCCATGATTAACACTTACCCTCAGCTTTCGCTTTGATCTCACTCACACACACACAGGATCCTGATCTAGACTTTGCTTTGCTTGGGGCATTCCGAATGTTGTGTAGCCATTCCATTGTGTCACGGACACATTTTTCTACTTTGTTGATCTCAGTTTCGTCAATATGGAGGTACTTCTCATCCTGAAATACAGAATAATGTAGATTATTGGAGATTATATTTTCCCTGGCATTCTCAAGCTGATGAACAAGTAATATCCTATATCTGATGCTTAACCTAGGATGTCAGTTATGACTACTGTGGAACCTTGATTCCCAAACACCAAGAACTTGGACGTAAGTGTTCGGGTTTTCAAACGCTTTTCGGAAGCTGAACGTCTGATGCGGCTATTGTTTCAGCTAAAGGTTGCCAACTAAGTGCTGCTTTGCATAATCCCTTCAAAAGGGATAAACAGGAAAGTGTGAATAATGAGCGCTTCCTCTTCTCCCATTTCGGGACTCATGTAAAGAGGGGAGTTGTGTTCCTGGCCCACATTGTTTGAAAACTGCTCTAAGATCTGGCAAATACATGGCCATTTTACACCTTACATTTTACACCCTCCTGTGTAAGAAACAAGGGTGGGCTATATAACCATTTATGGTGAAATACAAATTCTCAATTATTGGCTATATATAAAAGCACAGCACAGGAAGATTCATGCCTGAACTCTGCACTTCGCTAAAAATCATGCAAGGGATAATGGGTATATGATCAGTCAGTGAGTTTTCTGAAGTTACTCTGGGCCAGCTCTGCCAAAAGATTGCTACTCGCAACTAGAAACAGGATTTATGATGCTGACACACAATATTTGATTCAAACATTTTCCCTTGTTTATTTCTAATTTTTGGTTGATTGGGTGTGTGTGCATGTGGAATAATTCTGCTGGGGAAAGCTTTTAAGATTAATTATCTCCAAAATAAAAAGGAATTCATATTGCATTAAGATTAGTTTGTGATAACGACAGTTTTGGAAGGAAGATAAGGGGAATTTGCTTTATGACAAAACACGATGTCTTCATCTGGTCTTAAAACCATACTGAATTTGTGACCGTTACCTAATAAAATCAAATATATTATTAATGTGGAAGACTGGTTTGTTGTTTTCAACTTTGCAGTTTTTGCACCATATGAGAAAAGTATCTCAGAGGTTTCCTCAAATGTTTTGGACCACAACTCCCATCAATTGTGGGCCCAACTTTCTCTTATTAGATATCGGGCAGCCGCCATTCTCACTAAGTTTCAGATAGCAGGCTAAAATGGTTTTATTTCAGGAGACCTTTTGCACCATAAATGCTGCTCTAATATTTTAATCTATGTCTTAATTGTTGTACATTGCAACTTTTAATTCTTGCATCCAGCTTTGTGGGTGTACATTTTTACAAATAGAATTATAATTCTAAGTTATTAGCTGCTTTGAAGACTAGTCAAAAAGTGGGATATAAATCAACTGAACAAGTAGCAACAACACATCAAATTCATTCTCAGTGATATCACACAGACCTTCTTCCTGTATTCATCCGTAATCTTAGCATAGTTTTGCGCTTTATGCTGCAACTCATCCAGCAACCTTGGTCGTTCCTCCGCTTCTTGATACCTTGCTTCAATGGGAGTCCCAAATTTCTAGAGAGACCAGAATGATTCACCATATGTTCAAGTAAACATTTAGATGGCTTATCTACCACCTAAAACGCTTATGAAAAGGTCTTTGGCCCCTTGCACTGGATCTTCCCACCCCCTAAAGTCTCCTCTAACCCTCCCTACAAAAAACCCCAATAAATCAAATGTTTATTACGGTTGACTAACCATTAAATAAATGGCAAAATATAAAGTAATACAAAAATCACAGCCGTAGGATGACCAGCTGTAAAGGCGAATAGTGATGAATTAATCAAAGCAGGTCTGAGAGATGCAGACTATTGAAATGGGGTTTTTTGGTTACTATATTTTTTTATTTGCTATGTTATTATGAAATTGTTTTTGTAGTGTTCGGTTGAAATGCATCCCTGCTTCTTTGTTGTAAGCCGCTTTGAGCAGGATTTTGTGTGTGTGTGTGTGTAAAAGCAAATTTACAAATAAAATGAGAGAATGAATGTTCCAACGTTCAGGTATATTGCCACCACCTATCCCAGTAATAGAATTATTAGACAGCCCCTGAACTCAAGAAGATATTCATATGGTTTCTTAAGGATTGACCAAAACACCACCTCATAATGGGATAAATTGTACTTTCTTTAATAAACTGGGTTTTCAACTGGTGGACTGGGACCACCATGCAACTATATGATAAAAGATTAAAAAATAGTTCCCCAAATGCACGTTTGGGTTAAAAGTGGGGCCTGGGTCTGAAAAAATTACCTGCTGTAACCCATTGCTAAAATCTACAGCAGAAGAATACATGAGAGACTGTATTGAGCTTTACATACTTGCAAAGACTGTTCTGACCCCTGAAGGGAATTTAATCAACCCATAACAACTCTTCCTTTCACACCACCTACATCATGAAAGTAACCATACCTTTAATTCAGCCAGCTTGTCCATATAGACCTGTTTAGGCTGGTCCTCTCCTTCCTCGTATAGCCAGTCCTCTACCTCTGACAGCAGCGTGGAGAAGCGGTGGCGATCCTAAGCAAAAGTCCCAAGAATACGTTTTCGAGATTGCGCCAACCCACCCCCCTGCTACCGGGGAAACTTTACAAAACAAGTCAAAATGTTAACTGGTGCAAAATAAAGCCACACAATCTTGACGGATTGTTGTTGAGGAGAGAAAGGAGCTCCTTTCTCTCCTCAACAATGGAGTCCTAAGTGTTCTGGGAAAACTTAAGAGGTTTTCCAGTGAATGTGGAAGCAGTGGCGTAGCGTGGGTTGTCAGCACCCGGGGCAAGGCAAGTAATTTGCGCCCCCTAACCCGTGGATTTGCGCCCCCTAACCCATGGATTTGCCCTAACCCCAGATGTTGCGCCCGGTGCGGCCGGCCCCCCCTGCACCCCCCACACTACGCCACTGTGTGGAAGCCAGCTTACATGCCATGTATCTGGGGAAAGGCTTGACACAATACAACCCTCCTGCAATGAATGACTTCTCAAGGCAAAAAGATCCCTGAGGTTCAGTAGAATAGTTTGGATTTGATACCCCGCTTTATCACTACCCAAAGGAGTCTCAAAGCGGCTAACATTCTCCTTTCCCTTCCTCCCCCACATCAAACACACTGAGGTGAGAGGGGCTGAGAGACCTCAAAGAAGTGTGACTGGCCCAAGGTCACCCAGCAGCTGCATGTTGAGGAGCGGAGACGCGAACCCGGTTCACCAGATTATGAGTCTGCTGCTCTTAACCACTACACCACACTGGCTCTCTAGACCAGTGTTTCCCAACCATTTTTTGGCCATGCCCCACCTAAGCATCTCTAAAATCCTGGTGCCCCCCTCCCCCCAGTGATATATAGTTCAGATTATTCAAAAAGTGAACTCCTATTCACGTGGAGGAAGCCTTAAAGGCCATTAACTTGGTCTAAACAAGCTCCCAAATCGCCCCCCTTAAAAATCAAATTGCCCCCCTGTGGGGCAGGTGCCCCATGTTGGGAACCACAGCTCTAGACGGAATGGAAAGTGGCAGGCTGAGCCCCTTCCACCCCACAAGTAGATTAACACTCCATGTCCCTACCTCACTAGCCTCTACATTCTCTGAAGTCAAATCCAAACTACTCTTCTTCTTCCTAACCAGAGTCCTGCTAGGGACCATTCCTTAAAGACTGGGTTGGCCTCCAATTGCTGATCTCCTTTCCCTACTGGGCCTTTAAGCCCCATCTGCCCCACCTTAAACTCTTGATGCTCCAGAGCAAACCCAAGGGCTGAATGCAACCCAGCAGGCCCCTCTCTGTTGCCTCCTCCAACCACCATTGGGCATATACTGCCACCCAGGACAGAAGGCAGCCCTTGGATTTGAAGAGTTTCCTCACCTTGCTGTCGAGGCAGCCAACATAAAGAAAGGAGATTTTGATTGCCAAGCAATAGCAAGATTTAAAAATCAACCACCTTGAATTTGAGGGAAGCTCTGACAAACCGACTATCAAAAAGCTTCCTAGAAATAATTTTACACGCATGTTGATACCGGTACCAACTAATCTACTTGATACATTTGACTGTAAAAGTAACAAGAGCTGCTGAAATCCACCCTGTCTGTGGAATTTGCATAATTGTCAATGTACAGATTTGAAAATAAGGGACCAGCAGCCTCGAAAATAAGGGATCAGCAGCCAAAATAAGGGATTTTGCTATTGTAAAGAGTTACATACATTGGTAGGATTGACAGATGCTGTCAATCTGGCATGAAGTGGTTGCAGCGCTGCCCTTCTGCGTCCCTCCCCACCCCCTCCTCTTCCTCCTCCCTCAGGCTGCTTCCTCAGCTGCCACCACCGCTGCCACCTCTGGGCTCACGGGCGGTGTGGGCGAGAGTTTCTCTCCCTCCCCCCCCTCCCTCTTGGGCGGGGAAGGGCCAATGGAACTCCTTGCGCCAGGACGACGGTGCCAGCACACACTCTCTCTCGCGGCGGAGGACCCCGAGCCACTGCTTCCCTCCCAAGCCGGGCAAGCATGAAACCCGGGAAATTTAAGGGACATCATCAATAAGGGACAGCAGCGGGACACGGCGCTGGGATAAGGGAGTTTCCTGCCAAATAATGGACAGTTGACAGCGATGAATTTATAATATTTTGAAAACTAGTTGGGCTAGGCGTTACGATACGCTAAATATTTGAAGCCACTGTTTGATGAATATCTACAGTACTTAACTTCCATTTTGCTAACTATCTTAGAGGCATTCTTGATTAAGGGTGGTACAGAAATATGCTGAATAAATGAAGTAAGTACCTGCTCACACACAAATTTCTCATATGTTCCGGATAACTTGTCTCTGAAATCATAAACATATTCTTCAACCGCATTCTTTGCATCATTCCTTTCCTTCTCCAGTTTGTCTTGCATAATCATCTTGCCCTATTTGATTAACAAAAACAATTACATTAATTCGTCAGATTCTGAAGACCAGGTAACTGTACTTGGCGAAAAGAAACACAAAAGCCCTTCAAAGACTTTGTTTACAGTACTGTAAATATTAGTGAAACAAATGCAGTACTGTAAAGCTTTTAATTTATTCACATTTTTTTAAATAGCCACCAATATAATATTAATCTTTTATTGCAAGAATTTCTATTATAAAGAAATAGTGAAAGAGAGAAAAAGGTGGGAAAGTGGGGGGGGGGAGAGAAAGAGAACAAAGATGTGTTACACACACACACACACACACACACACTAATATACTCCCATACATTCTCATAGAAATTGATATAAGAATTTCCCAAAGAATCCTGGGAACTGAGTTTGTTAAGAGAGTTGTTGGGAGACTCCTATTCCCCCTCACAGAGCTACAATTCTCAGAGTTCCCTGGGAAGAGGGACTGATTGCTAAAACCACTCTGAGAATTTGGAGCTCTGTGAGGGGGAATAGGACTTTCCCAGCAGCTCCCAGAATCCTTAACAAATGACAGTTCCCAAGATTTTTTGGGGGGAAGCCCAAAGTGGTATGACCGGGCCTTAAATGTATAATGCAGATGGGGCCTGAGATTAAGACAAGTGGGACCTGCAACAACAAATAAGGATGTGTGGAGTGCTTCTGGCCAGTGCCCATTCCACCACCACCACCATCCTGGCTACGGTGCCCACTGAGCACGCATAGCCCTCACAGGGTTGTTTAAGGATTTTGCCCTCTTAGGTTTCTTTGAGCATGCCAATACCTCCTCCCCACTCTGTGCGTGGGTGGTGACATCCTAGCAACTTAAGGTCTACCATTTGGAGGTTGTGACTGCTATTTGTATATACAATGCCCGACCCTCATTTCACACACCTCTGTTTCAATGTACATGTTGAGCAGGTCTCTTCCGAGCTGCCAGACCAAGTTCGCCTCAATAGGCAGCTCGACATTCTTCACTTTTATCTTGGGCTTTTTCGCTTCGGGAGGCTGGTCGTTCTTCTTTTCGTTTCCCTGGGGCGGACAGCAGAGAAAGAACATTGACACATCCCGGATTGGCAGGAGTTTCTCAGAAAGTCTGTTTTTAAAGTTCTCACGCAATCTCAAGCGACCTTGATCCTGCCAACACATGTTGCCAGGAGCACCAGGTTGCTTAGAGTCTTTTGATGGGAGATTACTTTTATACCGAGTTAATTGAATTTCTACTTTTCCTTCGACGGAAGGCATGAAAGGGTCACTCACTTTTCTGGCATCTGGGATTTTGTTTTCTTCAGAGGGAGTCTCAGGAGAAGGGGGAGACTGTGACGTCTGCAGACCATCTGTTTGTACCTGGGGCTGAGCTCCAGCCTCATGATTGCCCTGCTGGATAAAGTTCTGAAATGGGAGCCCAGGCACAAATGATGTGAACAGGACATGTACATGGATTCAGTAAGAATCTACAACAAATTTAATGCTCGATAACACACAGGCTGTAAACAAGATACTGCAAGAAGCTTTCCAAAACATATTCTTATTATAAAAAGTAAATTTGCCACTTGTGAGTGCATCACAAATAAGCATTTTGCCAGAGAGAAATCATTTGCAGTCGTCCAGATGTTGTTACACTAAAATGCCCAGCATTCCTGACTGAGGCTGATGCAAATTCAAATCCAAGTAGCCATCCCAATTATTAGAACAACTCCAAAGAGAAGATCCACTCTGATAGGTGAATTGTGTACTATAACACAATTTATAATAATTATTATGACTATATTAAGTTGCAGAATTTGTGTATCGCCCTTCATCCAAAGATCACAGGGCACTTCGCAACATAATTCAAAATGAGAACATGCAATACACAATAAAACAAAATCCAGTAACACTCCCTTCCCACAAACGTATTTAAAAGGCCATATAGAATGTTCATCAGCCCAAAGGCCTGGTTGTAGAGAAACCTTTCCCCCTGGAGCCGAAAGGTAAGTACAGTGGTGCCCCGGAAGACGAATGCCTCGCAAGACGGAAAACCCGCAAGACGAAAGGGTTTTCCGTTTTGGAGGCGCTTCGCAAGACGAATTTCCCTATGGGCTTGCTTCGCAAGAAGCAAGCCCATAGGGAAATCTCCGGGGACCTCTTTTAAATGCTGGCGGTGGGGAGCAAAGCCTTTCCCCCCCTCCGGCCTTCAGAAGAGGTCCAGGAAGGCTGGCGGGGGCCGAAAGGCTTTGCTCCCCACCGCCAGCATTTTAAAAGCGGTCCCGGATAGCAGGGAAGCGCTTCCTGCTATCCCGGACGGCTTTTGAAGGCAGGCGGGGGGGGGAGCAAAGACTTTTGCCCCCCGCTGGCCTTCAGAAGAGGTCCTGGACCTCTTCTGAAGGCCGTCGGGGGGCAAAAGTCTTTGCTCCCCCCTGCCTGCCTTCCCGGGGGCTTTTAAATCGCCCCGGGACAGCGGAGAAGTCCTCCGCTGTCCCGGGGTTTTTTAAAATGCTGGGGGTGGGAAGAAAAGCCCTTGTCCCCCCCCAGCCTTCAGAAGAGGTCAGGGGACAGACTGTCCCCAGACCTGGTCTGAAGGCGGTTTCCATAGGAACGCATTGATTGATTTTCAATGCATTCCTATGGGAAACCGTGCTTCGCAAGACGAAAAACTCGCAAGAAGAAAAAACATGCGGAACGAATTAATTTCGTCTTGCGAGGCACCACTGTAATGAAGCAGCCAGGTGAGCCTTCCTGGGAAGAGCGTTCGACAACTGGGGACTCATCACGGAAAAGGCCCATTCTTGTGCTGCTGTCTTCTGGATCTCTTCAGGAGGCGGCACACAAAGAGGGGCCTCAGGTGATGATCGCAGTGTCATACAGGGAGAGGTGGCTCTTGAGATACTGTGGTTCTGAGTCATTTAAGGCTTTCTCGGTCAAATGCAGCGCTTTGAATTGGGCCCGAAACTAACTGGCAGCTGGTGCTGTTGGGCCAGGATTGGTGTAATATGCTCATACCATCTTGTCCCCCGTGATTAACCTGGCTGCCAAGTTCTGCACAAGCTGAAGTTTCTGAACCATCTTCAAAGGCAGCCCTACATATAACACATTGCAGTAATCTAACCTAGAGGTTACTAGAGCGTAGGCAACAGTAGTTAGGCTATCCCTGTTCAGACAGGGGCACAGCTGGGCCACCAGCCGAAGCTGATGGAAGGCATTCCACGCCATTTCTATGGCTGCATACACATTATACCTTTGAACGACATTCTTTCCCTTGAAGAATTCACTTCTCACATAGTTAAATTTCCTTAAACTACAGTGCCCAGAATTCTCAGGGTGTGTGTTTGTGTGCTTTCAAGGTACAGTGTTTACACAGCCTAATTCTCCCCATAAGGCTGTAGAATTACCTCCCTTCCCATCTTATAGAAAAAGAAAATAGAACAATAAAAAGCTTCTTTCCTCTTAAGTAATTTTAAGGTATTCCAACCAGACGTACATAGGAATCTGCCTTATATATCATCTGTGCTGACTGGCAATGGGTCACACAAAGGGAACAGCTATCTGAGCTATTTAATTGGGGGTGTCAGGGACTGAACCCCAGCCCTTCTGCATGGAAAGAAATGTGCCCTACCACTGAAGGATGGCCGTGTATTCCAGGTGAAGAAACCAACTTACATTAATGTCCTCCTCTGAAGGTTTTTGATTCTGAGCATCTACTACAGCCTTGACACTGTGATTTTCATTCTCTTCCTCTTTCATCTGCTCCACCATAGACGCAGTAGAGACACTAAATATGCCATGAGTATTGATGCGAACTTTGACCTTGACTTTAGTTTTCTCCCCATCATTCTGGGCTGCGATATTCTGGATAACATATTTGCCTTTAAACAAGAGAGTGGTCCCAAAGTTAAGCACGGGAGTCGTAAATTATCCCCCAAACCATGCCATTTCTAGAAGGCCCTCAACTATCGAGAGACGTAAGACTAAAAAAAGGATGGAAAATTTTTCAAACTGTCTAGGACTTTTAAAGCTTAAGAGCTGAAGCCAACATTACTAGATCCAATGAAATGAATGGGCATGAAACTCCATTGCAATTATTGTTATTGTTTCAACAACACTGACACAACCAGTCGGCACTGCAATGTTAAAAAAAATGCTGGGTGTGTACACAAAACCCCAGTGCTACTTTTTCTTTTTTTAAAAAAAAGGAACTTTGTGCAACATTACTGCAGTATACCACACAGCCAACTCTGCATCCCTGGTTTGTGCAAAGCATTAAACCATAGTTAAAAATGGTTTAATGTAAACCGGCATGTTGGCACATGTTGCTGAAAAGCTCTCACTTCACTCGTTTCCCATTCCCGCTGCTGTCATGCTAAGGAGCAAACAAACCAGAGCAAGGCTTGGTGCTACATGCAAACCAGGGCTGGTGGTTTGTTTCAGCCAAACAAATGATGAACAATAAGCCAAGAACAAATCTTGGTTTCCAGTCATGGCTGGTTTGGCGGGAAACTGCACGTAATGCCAAGTGAGGCTCTGATTTTGTCATTCTATCATGACACAGCAATTGCACAGTCATATTAACCAGAGTTTAATATTATATGTGTACCAGGCCATTATCGGACCAGCAATGCCAATTTTATACTGCTAAGGATTGAAATCTTAAGAACTTGGTGGATCAGGCCAGTGGCCCCTCTAGTCCAGCATCCTGTCCTCAGAGTGACCAACCAGATGCAGGATTTGACCACAAGAGCCCTCTCCCCTTCTGTGTTTTCCAGCAACCGGTATATTGGCTGAGAAGGGAACATTCACTTACCAATCATTTTCTCAGGGTAGGGGGTGCCACCGGGATCAGAATAGAAAGCTTGGAGTTCAAATGGGCCCTTTCTGTAAAAAGTCAAGACTTTGGAAAAAGGGGCTGCATGATGCCTGCTGAACACTTCATGCATTCTAGTCAAAACAAAAGAGAGGGAGAACAAGTTAGACATCCGTATTATTTTGAAGCCAACCTTACAGTAGATTGCAATTGGCCCACCACATCTGACCTGCTGTAAAATGTGTATTGCACATAATAACAATAACAACAACAATAATAATAATTTTAAAAAAAAACTTATTTATATCCCACCCTCCCCAGCCAAAGCTGGGCTCAGAGTGGCTAACAACAGTAAAAGTAACACCATTTACATAAAATCACAATTAATTGAAATACATTCTAAAATCAATTCATTATCAAATCAGAATCAAATTAATGGCAACCATTGGGCTAGAGTTCTATGAGGATTACCAAAGGAGGGGGTCAGACTGTGCCTTGGCCAAAGGCCTGGTGGGACAACTCTGTCTTGCTGGCCCTGCAGAAAGATGTCAAGTCCCGCAGGGCCTTGTCTCTTGTGACAGAGCGTTCCACCAGATCAGGGCCAGAGCCGAAAAAGCCCTGGCTCTGGTTGAGGCCAGCCTAACCTCCCTGTGGCCCAGGACCTCTAAGATGTTTTTGTTTGAAGACCATAAGGTCCTCCGTGGGACATACCAGGAGAGGCGGTCCCGTAGGTAAGACTTTAATATCTAGGAGCTATTTATTTCAGAACTTGATTGGGCCAGATTACCTCTCTCACCAATATCATCTAAAGTATATCTTCCTATCCAGGAACATAGGAAGCTGCCTTATCAGACCACTGGTCCATCTAACTCAACCCTGTCTACTGACTGGCAGCAGCTCTCCAGAGTTTCAGAGAGAATCTCTCCCAGCCCTACCTGAAGACTAAGCAGGGGACCTTCTGCACAAAACGCAGATGCTCTATCAATGAGGTACAGCGCTTCCCACATCCCAACAGAGCTGCCCTGCCTTCTACATCACCAGCTGTACCCATGTGGGGTACAACATACAATGAGGTCTTATCTGTAAAATCCAAGGTACACAGGCCCCAATTGTGCAGCTGGCTAGCCCCAACCGGAGTTGCACGTTAACATCAGGAGGTCAGTTGTGCAAGAAGAGGAGTTTCTGGGGGTGGGGTGGTGGTTTCTTACCCATCAGTATCTTCAGACTCTGTGCTCCACAGCAGTGATATTGGGAATGGAACGGATTCAGTGATGGAGAATTCTCGAACTTTAAAAGCTGGAGACAGAATTGCACACTAAGAGATAAAAAGATGGAATTAGAAACCTCCCCCCAGTTAAATTCTATCCATTAGCTCAGAGAAAGCAAGATGTGAGGAAGAAACAATGGGATGGGCTACTGGTTTAGCCAAAGAGAAGTGACTAAACATCAGAGACAAGGAAGCATCTTCGTGTGCAGAAGTTATAACGGCAAAACCAATTTATGATGCAATCCTGGTGAGACATGTTACCTGGAATTAAGTTATTATGTAACAACAAAAAAGGACCAGCTTATCTTGAGGACAGAAACAGCATCTTCTACACAAACAAGTCACCTGTTTCACTTTATTTGAACTTTTTTTTTCAGAAATAAAAAGTAATGCTTATTTTTGTGTCAATCTCCTGAAAATTACTCTCTGAGGTCTGCCTGAAAAGCGGTCTATAAATAGCATAAAGTAAACAATAAATATACTCATGAGGTAGTACGTTAATTCAGAAGCTACAGATTTGCCATGCAACTCGAGGATAACCAGTGAGGTAGGATGGGAAAAAAATTTCCCAGGTCTTTTTTAGTTTTTCTGCATAAAATTTTTCCTTTTTCAAGCTCAAGAGCAACAATAAATGGATGCCAACCACAAATGCCACATGACGCAAGCTTGGAAGCGTCAAACATTTGAAGTTTCATTTACTAAAGATAGGAGCGACAGGTTTCCCAATGAGGCTAATTTGCATAGGGATATTTTTTTCTGGGAAACTCACATCACTTGAGATGCGTGCCCATTTACTAGTGAGAAAGTGGGTGACCATTAAAGGAAACAGAATTACATCATTCAAACAAAACCAGACAACACTAAAATCAGTTGCCAGGTACGTATATCCAGACAGATTCAACATGATATCAAGACTTGTTTTGGATGCATACATGTAATTAATAAGTACTTGTTTTTAACCTGTGGAGGGAAAGCTGCCAGCAGGGTGGGGGAGATTTAGAGTGGGTGGGTTAAAGCCCCACCACCCGCCACTTCTCCAGCAGAAATGCTCCCTTCCAAAGGCACCCCCAAAGCTGAACCTGAAGCCAAGAGACCCATCTCCCGGAAGGAGGGAGGGTGTTGCCCACACACCTGCAAGGCACAGCCTCTTGCGACAGCTTCGTCGGCGTTCAGTGTGGTGCTCACGTCCATGCCGAAGAACTTCCCGATCTTCTCTTTGACAGCTGGCATGCGCGTGGCTCCGCCGACGATTTCCACAGCGTGCACATCCTCCACTTTGAGCTGAGTCTGCTCCATCAAGGAACGAAGGGGAAGCTCTATTTTTTGCAAGAGGTCAGCACACATTTCTTCAAACTGGGATCTAGGCAGGCAAAACACAAAGAGAAACCGAGGGCTGAGGCTTCCTTGGAGTTCAAGCAAGGCGGTCTATGGCGATTGCTCAACCCTGATCGCCTTGGTCGGTTCAAAAGCGAGAGAAAGCCTTTCTTCCGCACCCGTGAACTAGGGACAAAATGGAAGCGAAGGAGCTCCCCCAAAGCAGGTGTCTGATGGCAAACGCACATTCACATATTGTGGCTGGAGACAGAGTCTTCAGAGCTTTCACTTGAAAGGGGAGAAAGACAGGGGTGCTACTGTTAAGTTTAGACTTAATGGCAGTTACTTCCTCTTAGCAGGAGGAAGGGTGGGGCAAGGAGGCTGGAGTTGCGCAGTGAAGTTGATCCGGAGCGCTAGCACTCCCACAAACTTCTCTCCTCCTTGGTAAGCAAAACCATTGCCAGGAAGCTAGCACTGCAGCGCCACCTCACTGGGCACGACACTCCTGTGCCCGGTCAAGACAAGGATAAGGGCAGTTCACTGGTGCCTCCATTAGCAGCTCCTGGGCATGCCTAGAAAGGGCGACTTCACACATTTTACAAAGAATGGCCTTCAGCTACCGCATCCTGTAAGTGCGAAGACTTCCACCTGCACAATTTCCTCTCCTCTTCCTGCCACTGTGTGCACCCTGCACCTTCCCCAAATCTGCTCCAGAGGATTGGGGAAACCCCTAGGACAGATTTAGGGGGTGTGCAGGGGGAGCAGAGGGGAAAAACGCCCCACAGGGCAAGCAGAAATCCTTGTGGTGACAGAATGGTAACGTAGAGCTATATCTGACGTGCTTCCTATGAAGTATAAACCTTCTCTCGTTTGTCTTTTTGTTCAAAGGTTTCCATGCAATCTATTCTTTCCAGTACAATTGAACCGCATCAGAGGGATCTCTCACCTATTCATCTTTCCAGACACGTCTATATCATTCATAAAGCATTCAATATTAAGTGGGATATCTGTGCTGTTTGAGCTCATTAGTTTTTTCAGCTTCTCACACTCCTGGTATAAACGAAGAAGGGCCCGTACTTTAGATTTGGGGTCCAGTTTGTACTTGGCTTTTATTTCAGCACAGAAGTGATCCACTAGTTTTTCATCAAAGCTTTTTCCGCCCAGAAAAGGATCAAAAGCTGTGCCAAGCACCTGGTTGGAAGAAAAGAAGGCAATGTTAGCTGCCCTACATAGCACCGCCATTCAAACCTGGAACGAAATGACTATTGATACGAAGGCTAAGCAAACGGCGCTACCAACCAGCGTTGTTTAATCATAACATTGACATCCATGTACAAACATACACAGAGCTCCCAGTGCATGCTAAATCAATACAGGCAGTACCAGTTTAGGGCCGGCTTGGGAGAACATACTCAAATCAAGCAGGCATAATTCATGGGTAAGGTTCCGTCATTCCGTCTATTTCCGAAGTTCCGGTGTGAGTGCAGTTGCTCATGTGGCCGAAACGATACCACAATACAGATACACAAAAGACCCACAAAATTTACAGAAGCACAACTAAAGCAAAGAGGCGGAGGGAACCCCAGGACTGTCCAATGGGAGTTGAGTGTGCTCATTGGCCACATCATGCTGAACACTGGGGACAGGTAACTTGGCAGAAGAGTGAATGGAAAGGACAGGAGTGGATCACCAGATGGGGTGGAGCTGTAGCAATAAATAGCCCATCAGTGATGCCACTGCCTGGGAGAGAGGGAGGTTGGAGTTGTGCAGGTACAGCAACAGAGCCCATCTGGCACTCCCGTCAACATGCCCACTGTTAACGACTTGTGCAAGCCAGTTGGTAGCCCACCACACCGCAACCCCTGTGATGTATCGTCCGAGTATGCACAGCCTCAGTAGAGTCTTCAGGGTTTTCCTGCTCCCAGCAGACAGCTTCTTCCAGAGTCCCTAGTTGAGGGGGAAACTCCTCTCCCACACAGTGCAAAGCAACAAAGTGATCCCATTCTCCAGGAGCAAGACAAAGCAAAACACTGCTGTCTACTATATACAGTTCTTCTGGTTTCTGAATTAAACATATATATGTACAGAGAGATCTGCTAACACTATTGCCATGCTAACCAACACTGCTGTGCAAAACCCACAGCCTTTTCCTGACTCTCACAGATTCAGAGTCAGACCAGGACAGCACCAGGAGATGTAATTGGACCCAATGAAGGCAATGCCCCAGAGACTATTATACCTGTCTCTACATCCCTGAGCCGATGGGAGGGTAAATGACTCAGCAGTCACACACCCCATCTCTGTTGCTATGGTAACCCAGTGCACCTGGTCTCTTATCTCAGAACATCCAGATATGGGGGGGGGTGCTCCTCAAGACATGAGACTAAGCATTGTTTTATCCCATTGTTCACATTACACGGATACAGATGCAGTCCTGACCTCACTTGTCACCTCCCTCTCCCCTTCGTGGGAAGTAGCAGCAGCACTGCAGCCAGGACACTCTGCCCCGCCTGATGTGCTACTCCTAGCTGGCCCACTCAGACCTCTGGCCCCAGTTGACCACATGCTGCTTGCTTTCTGTCCTGTTTGCAACACTCTGCACAGAGCTTTTCTCCTCCGCTTTCACTTTGCCGTTCTGCATCCACATTCCCGGAAATGAGTTTGCCAACAGGTCTGCTCATATCGGCCCCATAGGCTCTGCCTACCTTCACTTTACCCTTGTTAAAAGCGCAGGCGGAGACTTGAAATGCCGAGTAGCCCATATCTATGAACACCACCAATCGTGGTTTCTCTTCCGGAGCTGGAAGGTCCTGCTTGTAAATCCCGTAGTTCAGGGCCACTGGGAAAAGACAAACCATTGATGTTAAGTCAAAGCCGCTTACGACAGCTAGAAAGTCAATGGCACTTCCAGCTGGGGAGGTGACGCTGCATTCAACCCTGGCATACACTTGAGACAGCAAAGTTCGCTTACTCAGAAATGTAGCAGAAAAGATGGAGAATAGTTCCAGTCTGCCTTTTTCCTTCACCATCCCCAACTACGTGGCCTTGATAAAAAGGTTAACAAGCTGACACCTAATGCCCTTATGAACTCCAGAAGCAGTTTTCTGAGCTTACGCATCTATCTGCTGGGAAAACTTACATGCCTGGACAGCACATTTTCACAATATGCTTTTGCATCGACGGTAGGTAAAGGTAAAGGTACCCCTGCCCGTACGGGCCAGTCGTGTCCGACTCTAGGGTTGTACGCCCATCTCACTTAAGAGGCCGGGGGCCAGCGCTGTCCAGAGATACTTCCGGGTCACGTGGCCAGCGTGACGAAGCTGCTCTGGCGAGCCGGCACCAGCACAGCACACGGAAACGCCGTTTACCTTCCCGCTAGAAAGCGGTCCCTATTTATCTACTTGCACTTAAGGGTGCTTTCGAACTGCTAGGTGGGCAGGAGCTGGGACCGAAAGACGGGAGCTCACCCCACCGCGGGGATTCGAACCGCCAACCATACGATCGGCAAGTCCTAGGCACTGAGGTTTTACCCACAGCGCCACCCACGTCCCGCTTCATCGACGGTAGGCGTGGCTATAATCATGAGGGGAGACACTTTGCTCTATGTAAACAGGAAGTAAATTTCATTGGCCCACCTGCTGTCATATCATTCATGAGCCTGAGACAATTCAAGCCCACAACCTGAGCAGCATCCAGCAGAGACCTCCTTTCAGGATCAGTGAAGAAAGTTGGAACCTAAGGGAAGCGATCACATAGAGGTATGGAGGGTTACCAAAAGTCCTGCTAATTTGTTTTTAAAATACAATCTCTCTGGGCTTCCTTTGCAGTAATTTAAAGGCACATTGTTTCAGCCCTGGCTACTAAGTTGGCCTCTCATTCACTGCCCCAGTGCAATCCTGATGGCTGATTTCAGCAAGGACATTGCATTGAGTAACATGCTGAGAAGACTGATTGATTTTACTAAGATGTGACTTTTCCTCAACGAGCTGTGCCCATAGTGGCTTACAGCACACATTCAAAACATCAAAATAGAGAACACTGGAAACACAAATATACAAGATACAAAACACGTCAGTAAATTCAAAATAATGAAAGTCAACAATTTAGCAAACACAGAATAAATTCAATATTACCAAACAAAAACAAAAAAACACTTCACCCCAACCTATGCTTAAGTACATAAATATCAAGCAAATAAAAGTTAGCAGACAATAGGACGGGATATAAATGTTTTAAAATGCATATTCTCACACTTCTGCAGTTATTTTAAAAGGAATGGCACACTGTAGCAACATGCAATATAATATATTTACATAATACGTTTGCATAATTATAAATTCATGGAAAGGTGGCAAAAATCAGTTCCCTTTAAGTCTTCAACATAAGCCACCCAATTTTAAAACACATGTTGGTGGTTTATACTGTAGAATTAATTCCATTTTTTTGCCATCTATCCATGTGAATGTATAATTAATTAAATGCCTTATATTAACTTAGGAATTCATAATCATTGTGTATACGTTTACTGTATGATTTCTTTATGTCTTGGCTGTATCCAATGCTCCACAAGCAGAACTCACCTTGTACAACGGAACTCTCCCCTTCTCTTCTCCTCCAGGCCTGTCCGCAAACTGCTTCAGAAGTTCCCCCTACCCCAATATAGCTGATTTTGAGGGTGCAAGGGGGGGTGCAGGGAAGAGGAGAGGAGGGGAAGTTTCATTCCACAAGTGGAAGTGTCTTACATTGGCAGGAAAGGAACGTTGGATACTGCCCACAGTATTTCACACCACTTTGCACTAATACGTGATATATGTGCTAATAGTTATTTGTCATTATCTGTTGCCTATTTCAATTACAGTCATGCCTCATGTTACGTTTGCTTCACGTTACATTTTTTTCAGGTTGTGTCCCGCGGTGACCCGGAAGTACCGGAAAGGGTTTCGCCACTTGCGCATGCACAGAAGTGCTAAATTGTGCATGCACACAAGCGCCAAATCGCGCAGCGCACCTGTGCAGATATGGTGCTTCAGGTTGTGGGCTTTTCATGTTGCGAACGGGCCTCTGGAACAGATCCCGTTCGCAACCAGAGGTACCACTGTACACTCATGTATTACTCTTATAGATCTATAAGTAACTAAATGCAATGTTTTCTTTTCACATCTTAACAATGTCTCCACATTTACGTGGGTGTCCCAGAGGATTCCCATCGAGGTTTCTGTTTTGTTCTCCACCTGCTCAGCTTCACCGGCGCTGCAGCATCATATACCCCCACATCACCCGCTGGGTCCAGTTATATTCAATATTCAAAGTTGCTTAGACGCCTGCACAACAAAATATTGAAAAGCTTCTACAGGGTCAACACAAGAGGAGACAAATACAAACCCAAAGTTAAATGGAGCTACTTACTGAAATAACACAATCGGAGACAGGCTTTTTGAGGTTATTCTCTGCCGTCTCCTTCAGTTTCGTCAGCAGCATAGCTGTTATCTGCTCCACACTAAATAAATGCTCCTCGTCCATGTACATAACCTGAAAAAACGAAACAAGAGTAAAGCAACTATTGCAGCAATTCCAACCGGGCCGGAGCCAGGTCAGTCCACTATTATTCTTAGACTCTAATCACCAAACATTCATTCTACAAAACAATGATTTCCAAAAACATTTCCTATTGCACATCTGAAAGTCACAGCTAGCTGTGGATGAGCATCAGCCAGTCTGTGTAAATGAGCCCCACACACACCCCAAGAATGTGAGAAAACTGACAGGAGGCCAAGATCTGAGGAAAAGGCTGAAGTATGAGGGGCGGGGGGAAAGCCACAACAACCACATCCAGGTGTAAAGATAAACTGTGGTTAATCATGACATGATTAGTAGGGAGCCTTGCTCCCCTCCAGTGTGGCCATGAGAAGCTTTTGCTTTCAATTAAGCACAGCTTAAGGGACGCGGGTGGCGCTGTGGGTTAAACCACTGAGCCTAGGACTTGCTGTTCGGAAGGTCGGCGGTTCGAATCCCAGTGAGGGGGTGAGCTCCCGTTGCTCAGTCCCTGCTCCTGCCAACCTAGCAGTCCGAAAGCATGTCAAAGTGCAAGTAGATAAATAGGTACCGCTCCGGTGGGAAGGTAAACGGCGTTTCCGTGCGCTGCTTTGGTTCGCCAGAAGTGGCTTAGTCATGCTGACCACCTGACCCGGAAGCTGTACGCCGGCTCCCTTGGCCAATAAAGCGAGATGAGCACCGCAACCCCAGAGTCAGCCACGACTGGACCTAATGGTCAGGGCTCCCTTTACCTTTAAGCACAGCTTAGGATTTCATCCAAACCCTAACAGTGGTAAACCTTAACAATGTTTTGCTGAAATAAGCCAGCTTCATAATTATGATCTGAGGTTAGTTTGTTCCAAACAAAACACACATTAAAGCTTAACCACAGTTTATCAGATTCAGATAACACATTACATATGACTGGTGGTGCCTACAAACCCCTTTACCTCCCTTGTGACATCAAGTATAAGATGGGCAGACATGGCGGGGCCAAATGGAGACGCCTAGAAGACCTAATGAGGTGAGCAGGCCAGAGATTCTCTACCCCTGACTCGACATTACCATCAAACCAAAGGTCATGGTTTGTCTTGCTCCAGACAAACCATGAGCTGCAGTCAAGGTTGGCATAGTGTGATGTACTCCCATTTATCTTATGAAAGGAGATTGACAAAAAAAAAAAAAAAATCAAAAATCATAGAAGTCTTACCTTTATTCCAACATTTCCATTTTTCATTGGAACAACAGAGTAGCTCAAGTGCTCTTTCTCCTTCTGGATAAAAGGATCGTTACATGTACGGCCGTGGAATCTCTTGAAGTTAAACACCGTGTTCTTTGCATGGGTAATTAACTACAAATGGAAGGGGGGGGGAGAGAGAAAACCCTGATGACTGGCCATCTTGTCAAAGATGCCAGAAGCAAACTGAGATCTATTGACAGCAAAGGCATATTTCAAGTATAGGCATGTTTCACGTTCTGTTTATTGCTTCAAGTTTCATTTATCATTACTAGTTAAAGCTGGGGTAGGCAACCTTTTCTAACTGGCTCCTTCTTGTGAGCCAACTTTTACAGCTGGGAGGGACACAATAATTTATTTAACTCATCAGTATTTTTTTAAAGTAACTCAAAGCGTCTTACAACATTAAAAAAGCAGTAAAACTAGCATAAAACTAAAGATATTTTCCCCGACCAACCCCACCTGTCAATCAACTGACCCAACATCATGTTTGATCCTGGCAGTGGGGCTCAGTCTTGCTGGGTTTTGATCCACCAGTGTGCTTCCTTGTGAGGAACATTCTGGTGAAGCAGACCCCCAAGCAGCGGTGTAGCTAGATGCTCAGGTGCCCAGTGCAGCGTGCGTGTCCTGCAGCCAGGGGCAGGGTGAGCTACCCATAGGGGCAGGGCACGCTGCGTGGAGCCTCTCCATCGCCTCCCCCTCAGCTGTAGGGCAGCTGAGGGAGAGGCAGTGGGCAGATGCAAGCCCCACGCTGCCGTTTCAGGCAGCACGGAGCCTGCAAGCACCCAAGCCACCATGTCACTCCCAGGTAAGTGCCAGCCGCATTTCGTTACATTTGTTGACTGAACTAAAAGGTTTCGTGAGCCCATTTTTTAATTATTATTTTTAAAAACTCATTTTTGTCATTTTGTCACACCTCCACCTCAGTGATGAGGAAGAAGGAGAAGAAGAAGAGTTTGGACTAGATATCCTGCCTTTCACTCCCCTTAAGGAGTCTCAAAGCGGCTAACAATCTCCTTTCCCTTCTTCCCCAACAAACTCTCTGTGAGGTGAGTGAGGCTGAGAGACTTCAGAGAAGTGTGACTAGCCCAAGGTCACCCAGCAGCTGCATGTGGAGGAGCGGGGAAGCGAACCCAGTTCACCAGATTACGAGTCCACCGCTCTTAACCACTACACCACGATGACACCCGGGGCGGATCGCACCCCCCACCCCCTTCCTCCGCCACTCCCCCCGACCCCAATCCCTGCAGGACATGATGTTGGATGATTGATAGGTGAGTGGCCTTCATCTACAATTCAGATTTGGCTTTGATAGACAGATGAATAATATATGTAGCACCATCTGTTTACCTGGTACTTTAAAAAGCAGCAGCCAAAGGGGGACAGGCTATTGGCCCATCTGATGAGTTTCTGGGTCACTGGAAAGCCCAAGCAGTGTAGAAAACAGCTACTTGAAGGGCTACACTTAGCATTTGCCTCTCTGCCCAGTATAGGAACATGAGAAAAGATCTACTGGATTAGGAAAAAGTCCAGCATCTAGCCTAGCATCCTGTTTTCACAGTGGCCGATGCCTTTGGAAAACTCTAAGCAGAGCATGAGTGTAATAGTCCTCTCCCCATCTGACAGGTCTAGCAGCAGTTATTAGTATAATTTCAGCAACCTACATTCTGAGAAGCAGCATGGGTAATTAATTTTTTTTCTATTCCCAGTGTCTTATTTTCAAAACAGCCACTTTACTAATTTCCCAGTGTAATTTGACTTGCTGTTATTCAGAAAATGACTCACTTGGTTCTTAGCAGACACTCCAATTGCCCTGTTCTTGGACCCAAACGACACCACCGATCTGAAAAGAAAGTAATCCACCAGTGATTATAATATACACAGTAAATTGCCATTGGTTGAGAGGCTGGTGGGCTTCTCTGATATCATTTGATGAATCTAAAAACATGCACTTGCAAACATTTCCTTCTGCACCTTACATTTAAAGTGCTCTCTGGCAGTCATTGCTTCCCCCAAAGAAACATGGGTACTGTAGTTTGTTGAGGGTGCTGGGAATTGTAGCTCTGTGAGGCATCTCGCAGTGACTCTGTTAGGAGCCGGCCAGAGTGGCTGGGGAAACCCAGCCAGATGGGTGGGGTACAAATAATAAATTATTATTATATTATTATAACCGCTAAAGTGGTATAGTAAAGGTAAAGAACCCCTGACCATTAAATTCCAGTCATGACCGACTCTGGGGTTGCGGCACTCATCTCGCTTTATTGGCCGAGGGAGCCGGAGTACAGCTTCCGGGTCATGTGGCCAGCAGGACTAAGCCGCTTCTGGCGAACCAGAGCAGGTCACGGAAACGCCGTTTACCTTCCCACCGGAGCGGTACCTATTTATCTATTTGCACTTGGTGTGCTTTCGAACTGCTAGGTTGGCAGGAGCAGGGACCAAGCAATGGGAGCTCACCCCGTCACGGGGATTCGAACCGCCAACCTTCTGATCGGCAAGTCCTAGGCTCTGTGATTTAACCCACAGCGCCACCTGCGTAGCAGCACTTTAAATGGATGGTGTGGATGTGGCCAGGAAACAGCATTTTTAAAGCAGTGCATTACAACAGCATCAGTTCATGCCTACCTAATAGTGACTGCCTGTGTCAGCACTGTGAAGATACTAAAAACATAACTTCTGCCCAAAACTACAGGAATACTTCATTTCTACAAAGATTTACATATTTGCTGCTGCAGGTAATTGTGTTGAAATGACCTAAGTCCCAATAGAACTGCACCATATGGCACCGTTAAGAGCTGACAGTGCTGATAATTTAAAATATGCAAAGGCTGGAATTTTCCACATTTGATCTTGAATCACAGGTCAATTGGTCAGGGGGTCAAGACTGCTTGAAGGAAATCCCTCAGCCACCCCCCAGCTTGTTATGAAAGGAAGAGCTGTACAAAACCAGTAATTTAATCAGAGTGGAAACAAAACTCAGGGCAGTGGAGCTCTCTGCAAGGCAAAGGACGGTAACAGGTATTATGGAAACAGCAGCCCTGGGTGCAATTCATTCCCTCCATAATGGGCAGCGGAACTTTCTTCTGTCCTGATGCCGCTATGCTCTGAGTTTCCATGCGCATGGGTCATCTACTTGAACCGCCTGAAATGCAGGAATATGCACCCACAAGGGTTTCAAACCCATGACCTTGGTGTTATCAGCACCATGCTCTAACCCAGGGGTCAGCAAAGTTTTTGTGGTTTGGGCCGGTTCACGGTCCTGCAGACGCTGTGGTGGGCTGGAGTGTGTGCGCGCGCACGCACTAACGCTATTTCCGGCATGGAAGAGGCGCACGTAGCTTCCCATTGGCTGCAGGAGCTTCCTGCAGCCAATGGGAAGCCCGCCAGTGTCGCGGAAGGTGGTCCCCGCTCTGCTCTGAACTGGTTTAGCGTGGCCCATGGGAGTCGCTTGTGGCCCATGGGCCTTAGGTTGCTGACCCCTGCTCTAACCAACTGAGCTAACCAGCAAAACAGGGGTGGGGAAAGAAACCATGTGATGACTTCAGGATTGTGTTTTTTTTAAGTTTTTTTTTTAAAAAAAGATATATTGTAAAGTTATTTTTGTAAAACTACAAAGCAGAGTTCACCATCCTTTTTGAACCAACAGACACATTCTGAATTTTTAGAAAGTGGGGCGGGCACCACTCACAAAATGGCTGTTATGGGGATGGCAGAAGACTAAATTAGTCATTGCTTCTTCCTCAACCCAGGGAAAACTAGTCAGCTATGTCCTGCTGGTCCTTAGTGTAGAAATCATACAATATTGAATTCTACTCCCCACTCCACCCGGACACACAATGATGCCATTGCTGTAAAATAACAAGAGGAAGGATTTCATAGTACCAAGAAAAGGTGCCCACATCACACACTTTGCATATTCAGCTCTCAATTTCCCCCAAAGACCACTCATATCACACATTCATACAAACCTCCCTCTGCTCTCTCTCTCTCTTACACAGCTACCTCCCTCCCTCTCCCTCTCGGAGGCAGCAAATACATACTTCTTCCTCTCTCACACACACATGTGGGTATCCACAGGAATTTTTTCAGGAGGGAGGGAAGCAAAACAAAACCCTGAAATGGCAAAGCAGGCTACTTTTGCACAAAACTTAGAAGAATGGTGTCTGTACATTTTTGCCTCACACCTCGGGTTCTAAAAATGCTGGAAACTTGCAACTGCTTTTTTAAAATGAAAGCTGGGAATCTGGGGGTAGTAGCTGACCCTTTGAGGGGGTCTGGTCTAAAGAAAGTAATCACACTTACAACGTCTTTAAAAATTACCCCTGTCAAACATAGTTGTACAATTCATACACAAGTGATCCTAGTCTGGTAAACCAAAATCTATCGGATTGGGAATTACCTTTCCATCCTCACCCCTTCTTCCCTTGAGCACCTGACTTAGATGAAGGTTTCTTACATGACTGCTTTCCACATCACCCAAATTGAGGCAATTATGCATTAAGAGCTCCCTCTAAACTGGGATACTGACAAGGAAAGAACACTTCCTACATTACTTCTGACCAGTCTAATAAACGATCGTTTTAGAGATTAGGATCACTATGCTTGAACTGGTCAACTGGGTGATTTTCTATGAAAATAAATAACAGGGAAATACCTTTTTGAGACAAAGTATTAAAAATACAGCACAATACATCAGATACGCCATTGCTCTGATAAACACAAGACAGGGGGTCTGGGGCTTGTGCCAAGTCAACAAAGGCATTAGAATTGAGCCTCTGTCTCAAAGGTATGCCGCTGTATAGCAGGCACAGGCAAACTCCGGCCCTCCAGATGTTTGGGACTACAATTCCCATGATCCCTTGCTAACAGGACCAGGGGTCAGGGATGATGGGAATTGTAGTCCCGAACATCTGCAGGGCCTGAGTTTGCCTATGCCTGCTGTATAGCTTGTATAAACAAGTGCAAAGTGATGCATGTTGGGGCCAGTTTTTAATTTTTTTGCATACAGTATGCTTGTGTGTTCTGAACGGACAGTGAATGACCAGGAATGAGACCTTTGGATCATACCACATAGCTCAATGAAGATGTTGACCCAGTGTGTGGCATCTGTGAAAACTGTGTACATTTCTGCTAGCCTCGCTGCAAAAAGGTTATTGTAGAGGTGGAAAGGTTTCTGAAAAGGGCAACCAAAATGATCAAAGGGATGAAGCAACTTATCTATGCGGAAAGATTGCAGCATTTGGGCCTTTACATAACAGGCAAACAAAACACCAAATGATAGGAGTGTATAAAATCATTCATAGCATTGAGAAAGTGGCTAGAGAAAGGTTTTTCTCCCTGTCTCATAAATTATAATTATTATTTATTAAAATTCTATTACCACACTCCATTCAAGGATTACAGGGTGATTTACAATATAAAAACACAAGCCAGAAGCCACTGAAGAAAAGGCAGTTCTTGTGTTGCCACCCTCTGGACCTCCACAAGAGGCACACAAAGGAGGGCCTCAAATGATGAATGCAGAGTCCAGGTTGGTTCATATGGGAAGAGGTGGTCCTTGAGGTATTGTGGTCCTGAGCACTAGCACCTGTGGACATCCAGTGAAGCTCGATGTTGGATGATTCAGGACAGACAAAAGAAAGTACTTCTTCACGTGATGTATGGTTAAACTATGGAATTTGCTCTCAGAAGCAAACAGGGAGGGGAAGAAGAGGAGTTGGGGAAAACGCCAAGTTCTACACAAATTGTGGAATATACTCTGCTGGATCAGGCCAAAGGTCATTCTCGTTCACTTTTCTGTTCTCTGTTCACAGTGGTCAGCTAAATGCTTGTTGGGAAGTCCACATGCAAGATCTGAGTGCAACAGTGCTCTCCTCACCTGATATTCAGAGACATATTGCTTCCAACACAGAAGGCAGGGCATACAGTGGTACCTCGGGTTACATACGCTTCAGGTTACATAACTCCGCTAACACAGAAATAGTACCTCAGGTTAAGAACTTTGCTTCAGGATGAGAACAGAAATTGTGCTCCAGCGGTGTGGCGGCAGCGGGAGGCCCCATTAGCTAAAGTGGTGCTTCAGGTTAAGAACGGACCTCCGGAACGAATTAAGTACTTAACCTGAGGTACCACTGTATTCCACTCAGATGCAATACATTCTAGGGATTAAAATGTTGCTTATTTACAAACAGCTTTTATGAACAATTGCATACCCCCTATAATGGAATCCTGAATATCTGGGGAAAGGGTGTGGTACAAAAATGGCTTTAAAGCAGAGCTTTCCAAACTTTTCATGTTGGTGACACACTTTTTAGACATGCATCATTTCGCAAAACAGTAATTCCATTTTACTAGCAAACGGGAGGTTAAATGAAATCATTTTGATGAATGCAAGACAACAGTGTTTTTATGGCATTAAAAGATTAACAATGCATAAGCTTTCACTTAGGCAGCTTTGGGTGTGGAAATGGGCGCTTGTCCATGGTCTCCCATCCCTATGGCATCTCAACTTTCTAGAGTTTACCAGTCTAACCTTTATCTCAAAGGCCCACTCTGGGTTGATGCTCCACCCTATTGAGATAGGCAGAAAATACAGTTTATTCACTTGCTTGCATCCTCTGCCTCTATCCGGAGGAGAGAAAACTCCAGAAGCTTCTAGATCCTGGTCTAAGCTCCCTGAGTATTAGTCCATCTCCCCATAGCTGCACAGGATCCAGCAAGCTCTTCTTTCCAACTGCATCATCACTCTCCCTCTCCCACTTCCTTAGCGCCTAAGCATCAAGTAGGTGGAAAGTGCTTGGGGATAGGGAGTGAAGGGGACACAGATTGTGAAGAGGCACTGCAGCATCATCTCTGCCCCTCCCTCTTCAATCAAGATTCCAAGAAAAAGGCAATACTCAACATCTTCTCCCTATATACACGCCCACCACAGGCTAAGGGAAGCGTGAGAGATTTCATTTGCTTCTATGATGCACTCTTAAATTTCCATGCATGAGATGTTGGAAGCGGCAAGGGTGAGAGGAATGCAACAAAACAGCTTTCCGGGTGGGATATATACACACACGTGTGAAATAAGAACCGTTTGCCACGTTCTAGGCAGCTCACATATCTTGGAAAGAATTAAATATCACACACACACCCCAATTTAATTCAACACAGCTGGATCCGCTTCTAAGAAAGAGCTGCAGCCCTGGGCACAGCTACTTGAGAGCAACCTCCGCTAAACTCAACGGGACTCGTTTACAAGGAAACGTGATTACTTGCAAGTAAATGCCACTGATGTCTCCGTGGTTAGAATTGGGGGTGTAAAAAAAAAAAGGCCAGCGGATGTCTGCCTTCATCGTGCGTGGGGAACCACCAAGCCTATTATTAATTATTAAAGAAGGCTGTTACCTGATCGCTACTTACTCCCGAGTAAGCCCTATATACACTCAACGGGGTTTGCATGAGAGCAAAGATGCAGAGGATCACTTCCATCAGATGCAGGCATTATCGCCTTCAGTTTGAGACAGGTGCATCGCACGCCTGCATTTGCAAAGCCCGCAATCTTCTCTCCCTTCACGGCAGGGAGGCCGACCCTCTTTCTGCCCCGGGCCCTTTGACAGGGAGATCTCGTCTGCCTGCGACACCCCCCCACCCCACCCTTCGGATCTGTTACTCACGGGGTGCACCGGTCACTGAACTCGTTGGCCACGGTCTCTATACCCCCGGCTCTGGCCACCGCCACGTAGCAGCTCTGCGAGCCCAAGTCAAAGCCCACCACGGCCATGGCGGGGCTCCCTGCGCCGGACGCTGCTGGGGAAGGTGTGGATCCGCCCGCCGCCTCGCCGCTCGGCTCTCCCCCGCTGCAGGTGCAACCCTCGCCCAGCCCGCCGCAGCAAAAGCCGCGCCCTGCCTGCCTTCCTGCCTGCGCGCGAAAATCTCTGCCTCCGGCGAGGAGGCTGAAATGTGACAATGGGCAGAAGTTTCCAGAAACTGCGACAAGCTCCTTAGCCGGCTCCACGTGCGGCTTCCGCTTCCGCCTTTCTCCGGCGAGCTCGAGCCCTCCCAGCCAATGCAGAGGCCGGGAACCCGGTGACGTCCGCCGTTGCCCGGGCGACGGCGGACGCCGCGCGGCCTGCCTCCGCCCGGCTGCTCGCGAACGTTCCAGACTGACGCAGGTAAGAGGCGTGGACCGGGAAAGTTCACGTGAAGGCATGCGCGGCCGGGCCGTGGGTGGCGCTTTCCTTGCGCCGTGAAATGGGACGGGAAATGGAATGATCCGGAGTTGTTATTAAAAGGCGCTCTCGGCTTTTCTTGGCGGGTGTGCTATATAGATTGGGCTTTTTAAGCGGGAAAGTGATGCGTGTTTGCTAAAAGAGTGACAGCTCTAGTTCACCCCTATTTGTAACCTACGTGCTTGTTTAATTCATCGGGTTGTCATGATGACTGTTTTTTCACCCTCTGAAACTCCGCTATCCCACTCCCGAAGTACTATAAAATTGTCATTATGCAGAGCAGTGCTATAATATTTACCCTCAAGGTACGGCCCGCTGAATTCAATGACAATTACTTCCTAGATTCATGGGATTTTAGAGTTGGGAGGTATCCCTGTACCCTCTCGCCCTCCCACAAACACATTTAAAATATATTGGATGTTAGTCAGCCTAAAGATGTATAGTGAAGGCGCCAGGTGAACCTTTCCTGGGAAGAGCATTCCACAAACCTGGAGCCACTGCAGAAAAGGCTCCTTCTTGTGTTGCCACCTGCCAGATCTCTCCTGCAGGAGGCACTTGAAGAAGGGCCTCATTTGATGATAGCAAGGTCTGGGTCAGTTCATATGTGGAGAGGCAAGCCTTGATATATCTGGACCTTGTGTAGAAATAAATGAGCTTTCCACCCTAATAGTAAATTTCAAAGCTTTACCACAATACAGTCTTAAATACTAATTATAAAAAATTTAAACATTATACAGAAACAAAGTAACGTTGCTTTCAAGTAGCAGGCAATGCCATTCGGTCCTTTATGCAGTTCAGTAAATTTTCCTTTCTGGTCACAGAGATCCTAAGCTTGTTCATTACGGAGATTAGCTTTGACTGTGTTGCCACTGGTAGCTGTCACTGACTTCTTAAGTTTCTCTCCTGTGAGAGATCTGCAATTTCCACCAATGAGTCATCATCAGGTAAGCTTAACCCTCTGAAATGGAAAAACACCAGCTTTCTACTTTCACCCAGAGTGAAACCTCTGGCTTAATGTAAACCTCTTCTTTGCAAATGCAAAGCTTTACATAAGTTTTAACCTCGATGCATACAAGTATTACATTTTATGTGTATTTAGCATCAGAGTGGCTTACAAAAATCAGTGTAAGATGCTTACAGTCTAAAAAAGATACGGCACAAGAAAAAGGAATGGGAGGGAAGAGGAAAAAGCAAGCTCAGGTTCTTAATGTTACACATCTTATAACATAGTTACAAAACTCAGTCTATTCAAGTTACAGGTAGGTAGCCGTGTTGGTCTGCTGTAGTCGAAACAAAAAAATAAATCCTTCCAGTAGCACCTTAGAGACCAACTAAGTTTGTTATTGGTATGAGCTTTCGTGCGCATGCACACTTCTTCAGATACACACTTATCCGAATAAGTGTTGCATGCACACGAAAGCTCATACCAATAACAAACTTAGTTTGTCTCTAAGGTGCTACTGGAAGGATTTTTTTATTTTTTTGCTCAGTCTGTTCAAGTTATGGTGTGTAGAAGAGCAGCAGCTCCTTACCAATGTTAGTGGCAAATCTGGCTGTCTTGCCCTGCGGGCCCCCTAAAATATATGGGCCCTGTAGGCCAGTGCCTACTCTGCCTATTTGGTAATCCACTGATTCCTCCAGGCACATTATTCCTACTGATAATACTGACGAGTCATAGGAGCACAGGAGTTAGACTTTTTTGAAACTTTACAAACGTAGTATTCTTACTGGCCACCCTAATCTCTGCCAAGCGGTGCAAGTGAGTCCAAGGAGTCTTGGCACTCAACCAGAGTCTGTGTTCCTTTGGGGAAAATGAGGTGCAGCAGAGTGTCTTTGAAATGAGATTTATCTACACATATTTACACTGGAAGATTTCAATGGGGAGACACTTCACAACATTCACATCTCAGGAGGAGCCAGTCTTTCACAGCAGGCCAACACAGGATTCCCATACATCTCTGTGCCTCTCTCCCAGGTTCCTTCAGCCAGCTTGCCAAAATGATTCTGGCCTTCACAGCAGCTCATGAAACTCATCCCAACAACCTTGTCAGGTAGATTTGGCTGAAAATCAGCCCCAAGCCACTCAATTGCTAGAGTCTTTGAACCCAAGTCTCCCTGGTACCAAATCCATCACTTTATCTGCTGCACCACACTGCTTATTTATACACTGAAACCACATATCCTCATCCAAATTATAAATGGGATGTGAGTGTATCTGACTGCGTGTAAGGAGACTTTACAAAACATAACTTATTTGACTATAAAACTATTATGCTATTTCACACTCAGCTTATTGATTTCAGTAATATACTTTCACAAAATATGTTTTGACTCCAGTCCAACTGGAGTCCCTTACTTAAGTGGTTTCTTAATTAGGTTGACATTTTGTAAACTTGTTCGCTTCTTTTTTTGCATGGAAGAGAACATTTTTAGACCACTTCAATTAGTAGGACAACACGTAGTATGTGTTACAACTCCAAATGTGCTTTTGCTGGAAAATACCAGATAAAAACAATAGAACATTATTTCAGAAAAAATTCTTTTCAAAATGCAAACATTAGTGATTGAAAGTTGTAATGACTGAGTGCTGGTGACTATCTGGAAAAAAAACCCTTAATCAATGTTTAGAAGGGCTCTGTTTTGATATTTATTTTACTATGTTACTATTTCATTATTTTTGTTTGGGGGGAAAACAAAGGTTGTTGGTGTCTAATAGCAGCATCAAATCAGGAGAGAACTCTTTTTAAACATAATCGGAATACTAGGGGGAGCTCTAACCACATGGAAAACACTGGTATTATTCACTTTTATAGGAAGAAAAAGCTTGTCCCTATTATGATTTTTAGAAAATCATATTCCGTTTCTTGGATGGGCAGTAATCCTTTAGAGCTCAGCTATAGAATTTGTTTGCAGTCCTGGAGAAAGGAATGATAATGACTTTGAGCATGTGCAGAGTACCTTTGTTTTGTTGTTAACTTGTTAGCCATATCAAGTACACCAACATCTGGGATAGAAAGACTGGATATGGCTATAAGGAAACATGAGTAATGCACCCTTTTATTTTTTGACCGCGCTAAGCAGTTTATCCAATGGCAGAGAGACAGTAATGCTGACATACAATAGTATCCTTTTTTTTTTTTTGTTCTTTTAAGATCATATTCTTCTATTTATTTATTCACTACATTTTTTATGTCACTCATTAACAATACACTCTGGACTGTGTAAAATTAAAAAAACAAAAACAAAACCCATAAAATATGCAAATACAGCAGATTGAAGTACCGTAGTTAAAACACGAAAATAAAACAGAGACAGTAGCGACAAATGTCTAAACAGCACCAATATGTATTTTTAAAACTGAAAATCCTGGGGAAATAAAATGACATTCACAGAGCAATAAATAAACTACAAAGTAGGTGCCATCTTTGGTGAGGGTATTCCACAGTAGAAGTGCCACCATTGAAAAGGCTCCTACTGTAACTCATTTGTCAGAGGAACCTACAGAAGGGCCTTTGGAGAATGTTTACTGCTATATGATGATGATGATGATGAACACACACACACACACACGCTTTCTTTGGAAAGTTTTTAGGTCACATCCATACCAGAATTCTTATAGCATTGCACTTCACTCTTGTCCTCAGTCTTGGTACGCTACTCTTTTTGCTTTTCTCATATGCATGTGTTTCCTGCTTTTGGAATTGCTATAGACTCAGCTACATTGGCAAAGAAAATGCACTTTATGTGTGTGGTTTTTGCATTCTAACACTGTGACAACAGATTGCACTGTGGAGTTCTGTTCTTGCAAACCTAATTTCTCATACAAAGTTTGCAACACATTTAACTGAAACGCTTCTTCGCGTCTAGATCCAGCCTAGGTCCACACTAATATCCTTGGTAATCTTTCATTTCACTTTTGTCCTGTTGTGGTCCTGGAAATAGTATCTGCATTCACTCACTATTCTATTTTCTTAAGTTGAATGCAGTGCAAACAGGGGTGGGGGGAGCAAATCTTGTATCCACACACTCATTCCCAAACAGATAACTTGATAAAGTTTGTTGGGGTAAACAAAAACAATGGAACAGCATGAGACTTCTGCCAAGGCAGTAACACAAACGCTTGTATCTCCTCAACATGGCTCAAGCTTTTTCATGAAACTATCTAGATATTATGTATAGACAGCCATAATCACGAAGCATGCCAACTAAACTGCACAGCTACATTTATAAGGCAGTTTGTATGTAAGTCTACGGTTTCCTGGGATTATATAAATAAATCTGTAACATCTGAAGGTGACGTATACATCTACAGATATGCAGAAAATTAATATCTGGAAGCGTCACTAACTTGTCAAGTAATTCCTGCATGTTTGGAGCTCTTCGAAAATATTAGTGAAGCAGTTCAAGCTTTGAAAACTATTTCCCCACAAACTCAGAAAACAGCTTGGTGTGTTCTAAAACCAAAACACTGAAAACACCTTGGTTTATGCCAATTCTATGTCCTGTTCCACCCCAAAGGTCCCTAGGAGTACAACAGGGTCTGATCCTTCAGTAACCTCCTGCCCCTCACCCACCTATCTGCCTGCCCTCTCCCCTTCCTCTAAACTCTCACTCCCATCCATCTCCTTATTTGCTTTGCTGCTTTAATGTCAGCCATGGTAGGGTGGAGAAGTTGCGCAGCAGTGCTGGGAAACTAGATGGTTCAGGGCTTCTGATATCTGGCTTTCAACTGCAGCAGTGTGCCAGACACCTTGCAGGCTGTGGGTGAGGAAAGGATCTCCATCCCACCACCCTGCTGG